TTAGTTTTAAAGTTTGTAATAACTTTTTTTTTATCAAATCTAGAATCTGTAATGTTTTTCCTATGTAAATTTTTAGAGTATTCTTCTAATTTTGATTTTTTAGAGGTTTTTTGATATATTTTTCTAAAGTTAGATCTTGGTGTTTTTATTTATCTTTGAGTTTTATTTTCGCATTATTTCATTTCGGTCGATGACGAGACCTCCGAAAATCGTTACTAGTCAAACTATTGATAAATAATGATGGATCCGAGACCACCTTCTTTTTCTCTCCTCATTTCTTCTTCATTTTCGATTTTATTAAGATTTTCTCGATCTATGAAGTCTTTCAATTCGTAAGCGTCATTTTATCGAAGTCGATAACCTTCTCGATTTCAAGTCTATGGAAAATGACCATTTGGGCCATTTTCTTTACTTTGGGATCATGATAGGCTACATTCGATTAATCGACATAATGTTTGCGATTAAGACGAGATCTCACCTTTTTTGGGTCCGTGCGACACGATTAAATCGGAGAATGATCCTCAATATTATTTCTCAATCTTGTCTTTTGCACGGATATCAATCTACGCGACCTCCTATAGTTCGACTTTCATCATAAGTCGAGCTACGACGGTTTAGTGTTACAATTCGTCCCGATTTGATTCAGTAACAAACTAACCACTAACTTTACTTTCTGTCAAATATACACTGCTTTATTTTTCAGTCAATATTATCTTGTCCATATACTTGTCAATATTTCTCTTAATATATTCTCGTACATATTTTTATATTTTGTATATTATCCATATCTTATATATATATATATATATATATATATATATATATATATATATATATATATATATATATATATATATATATATATATATATATATATATATATATATATATATATATATATATATATATATATATATATATATATATATATATATATATATATATATATATATATATATATATATATATTCATATTCACTTGCACATTCTTTCAAAAGAACACCTAATAAATATCAAAACCATAAAACCCTGAACTGGTGGACCGTTGTTTGTTTGTCCGAGTGACGGACCTTTGGACATTTTTAGGAACCCAAGCATAGAGTTGTGTCGACTTTCGCTCAAAGGCATAGCTTAGAACACATTGCACACACACGACTTTCTCTTGGGCTACCTGACAATGAGACTTTTTATTTTCGTGCAATCCCATGTAATTTGCATGTACCCTTCTCCCGTTTCCGTTGTACTTATTTTGTATTTCTTTGATTGCGGCTTATCGTCTAGGAGCACCCCAGGGACTAGAATATCTATTTTTAAACTAGTTCTCAATCCGTCATCGAGCTATTTTCAAACTCACTTCCACCACGCTTTTGTAAGAAAATTCCAGAAAAACCCTTGATCCAACGTCAAACAGATTTTCTCAACCAACTTTCAAACCAATTCACCATCTTCTTCTTTCACAACTTTTCTCCTAAAACATTGGTCTCGTACCAAGTGCATTTTCAAACTCTTTTCCTAATAAAAACTTGAATGGTCGTGGATTGGTTAGGCGTAGGCCTTCTCCTATCCCGAGTGCTTGACATTACCTTTAGGGTTCACTATCGCAAAGCACTTACCATTCAAGATCAAAACATCTTTAATAAAGAGAATGAAGTTCCCTTTGTATTGAACTAAAGAGAGGAGATTGAGTGTAGACTTCTTTCTCTTCGAGCATCAGGATACTCACTATAGAGTGTGTGGTCTCGATACTCGTCTTTCAATACGAAGACATGACTGTATTCGCCATACCTTTTCACAATAAAACTTTGAGATAAAGAATTGGGTACTACCCGCAAGGGGTTACTATCTGAGGACCTATTTCACCCCTAAAAATAACTTCACAAATCAAACGTGACATCTTGCCTCGTATGACGAAAACTAATATTTTCAAAAAGGATATGTTACGTTCGTTCAACCACAAATAGGTAACGCCTAAGACTCCACGAGCGAGCAGCCATACACCTAACTGCTTGAATGCTCACGATAGCATCATCCACAAAAACACTAGTTAGTAGTTGCCCAAACTACATTTGCTCTGATTTCTCATACCAGATGGGAATACGTAGGCACAAGACGACTATGTCTTGGCGAACACTCTTCTTTCTTTTCCACCTTTTCCCTGAAAGGACATGCTACGTTCTTTCTACCGCAAACATGTAACGCCTAAGTCTCCAACGAGCGAGCAACAATACACCTAAACTGCTAGAATGCATATGTTAGCATCGCCTACCAAAACTTCCCAGTCAACCGTAGGCCGAACTACGGCTGCTCTAATTCTTTACTTATTTTAAGTAAAGATACGTTGGCACAAGGGCTCCAATCCTTTCCGAGCACACGTCTATCTCTCTTATCTGTAGTTCCTCGAACTACGTTGACTCTGACTTTCTCATATCTGTTGAGAATACGTAGGCCTAAGACCACGAAGTCCTATCGAGTCTCTTTTCTCCCCCTTTACCTTTCTTTATCCCTTGGAACACTCATTATAGCAATAATATTTAGCAGATATTTTCACACATAAACAAACAAATGATTCCCATCGAGTATGATGGATACGAGCGGTGCTAATACCTTTTGCTTCACATACCAGCTTCTGAACTCGTTCTTGGTTGCGAGACCATCTTATCCATTTCTTTCTTAGGGTTTTCTCGATGTTTTCCCTTCCCCTCATGGGATAAATAAAGTTCGGTGGCGACTCTTCTGTCTTTCTTTTCGCCTCTCCGTCGTTGCATTTTTTCAAGTAGCGACGGGGCATAAGTTTAAGGATAATTTGACAACAGGGCATAAGTTTAAGGATAATTGGAAAAGATTTAAGATTTATTTGGGTTATTCTTTGACTAACACAAGGACCACCATAGGCTTAGATGATTGATTATTCTGTTTTAAGCCAGACTATAAGACTAAAAATAGCGCTACAGAGAGGCAACCCATAGTAATTTAAGTTTATTGTGTTGTTGGTTTTTCATGGCGATAGGTTGAATTATGATGAGTTGTTATAAAGTCTTATACCATGAATGTGACTTGGCTAGTAAATTTGGCGGATTCAAGCCCAAAAGAAAATAAAGCCAATATAGAAAGAGACAAATTGATTTGGATAAAATAAAAGAAAAAAGAAAATGAATTGATTCAACAAGTTGACAAAGACAACGAGCATATGAAAGAGAAGGCTAATGAAGAGGTAGAGACATATAAAGAACATGGCAAAACAAGAACAAGTGAAGAAGGTGATAAGAATGAAGAAATGAAAGAAAAAGATGTTGAACTGCCCCCAAATGACGGGGAGAAATCTATTGTTTTGCCGAACCAATAAGAGATTAAAGAAGAAGACCAGTAAAGTGTGCAAGGAAATGAAGAATGGAACCAACAACATGTTGATGATAGCGAGGAGAGGTCAATGCCTTATTACTTCAAAACATATGAAGCACATGGGCAATACCAAATATGAGAATTGATGAAGGATGTTGACCCTAACATTCTAGGGATTGGTATGTTATGAAAATATAAAAGAAACTAAGAAAATATTGAAACTACAGAAGAATTATAGCGTGCCAAAAAGCCCAACAGAAACAAAAAAAAAACTCAAAAAAACCTAAAAGTCTAACTAAGGAAAAAAGCCTAAAGAAAACTGGAAAAAAAAATCTCTCCTCCTAACACAACATAAAGTGTCATAGATTCTCCACCAACAAAGCAACAAAGTACCATTGAGTCCTATCCAAAAGTGAAGATCAAGAAGAAGAAATTTGTTGTTGTTAATGAAAAGGATAAGTCAGGGGGCTTGACAAATAAAGACAAGAAGAAAGACGTGAAAAGGAGGAAGGGAACTGAAAAAGCTCAAGGAATCAGAAAAAGAAGAACACTTTAAGTCTTAATGGTATTAAAAAATTCAACCTAATAACCCTAAGTTTAGGGTAGTTTGTTTTTCTATTCTGTCGAGCCATAACTCTTCAGGATAAGTAGTAAGGACATTGCCCATACTTTAAATTTGGGGGTATGACACCCTTATTCGATTAATTAAAAAGTTATTATGTTTAAGTCTTTAATTAGTGCATGCATGTTTTGAAAAAACAAATAAGAAGATAGTTTTAACTAATTCAGTCTATCAGCTGAATTTCTAAGTTTTAACAAAAGAAATTCTAAAAATAAGAAGTCAAAAAAGTAATTAGTTTTTTAAATAATTTATATTGTTTTTAATTATGGAATAAACTTAGATATAGGATTTAGTCTAGGAAAGAAAATAATAATTAGTTTGGATGTAAATTGTCACGTATAAATAATTTAAAGTTATTTTTTCACAAAAATTTGAGATTATAAAAAAAAACTAATTAAATTAATGAAACAGTTTTTAAAAATAACCTATAACATTTTTAAATAAAAAATTAAAATAAAATATTAAATTAAATTAAATTAAGAGACTAAAATATAGAGATATGACTCAAAATTGAGTTAGATTGAATAAATGACTTTATATCTTTTTCTTTTATTTTTTTCTCACCATTTGATTATCTTCTACTTAATTTAACAATATGGAAATTAATATATATTTATATTGCTTGGAAATTATTAACATGTATCATGTTAATTTAAAATTTTCATTCTTTTAAAATAAAGTTGGTAAGTACAAGATAACTTTTATTTAGAATTTTTATATTAATTTAGTTTTTTCCATATATTAATCTAGCTATAAGTTGACACAAGTTTTTTTATATTTTTTATATTATGAAAACAAATATCTAAAAAGTAAAATTAACACACGTGGATTATCACGCGGCGAGATACACACCACAAAGTGAAACCCCATCGACTGCAGTTGACTATTTTACCCTCAACTCACCGATGCCTTAGACAAAAAGACAAGGGCAAAAAGGTAAAGAAAGAAGCAAAACAACCTCAGTCACATGCTGATATCATTAACAAGACATGACACCTGAACATTCGTATTTTATCACACTAGCTACTTGCATTCAACAATGGCCGCCGCCGCCACCACCACCACTTCCAGATCTCCGTTCACTTCATCATCTTCGTATTCAACTTTCCTTAAACGAAACTCTAAACTCACATTACCTTTCTCTCCCATTTTCAACAAGCCACAATCCATTCACACTCGTCCCCTCATTATCTCATCCTCCCTCTCCAACTCCCCCGTCGCACCAACTTCCACCACCACCACCACCACCTCCGATGACCAATATATCTCCCGTTTCTCCTCCACCGAACCAAGAAAAGGAGCCGACATTCTTGTCGAAGCTCTCGAGCGTCAAGGCGTCACCAACGTATTCGCTTACCCCGGTGGAGCTTCCATGGAGATCCACCAAGCTCTTACACGCTCCAAAACAATCCGAAACATACTTCCCCGCCACGAACAAGGTGGAATCTTCGCCGCCGAAGGCTACGCACGCTCCTCCGGTCTTCCCGGTGTTTGCATCGCCACTTCCGGTCCCGGAGCCACCAACTTAGTCAGCGGCCTCGCCGATGCTTTGATGGACAGTGTCCCTCTCATCGCCATTACCGGTCAAGTTCCCCGGAGAATGATCGGAACTGATGCTTTTCAAGAAACCCCAATCGTTGAAGTAACGAGATCTATCACAAAGCATAACTACCTCATTCTCGATGTTGATGACATTCCTAGGGTTGTTAAAGAGGCTTTTTTCCTTGCAACTTCAGGTAGGCCCGGCCCTGTTCTCATCGACATACCCAAAGACATTCAACAACAGTTGGCAGTTCCTAATTGGGCCGAGCCCATTAAGCTCGCTGGGTATGTTTCCAGGCTACCCAAGATTCCTGATGAGGCTCAACTTGAACAGGTTCTGAGGTTGTTATTAGAATCTAAAAAACCGGTTTTGTATATTGGAGGTGGTTGTTTGAATTCCAGTGAGGAATTGAACCGGTTTGTTGAACTTACAGGTATTCCTGTTGCTAGTACTCTAATGGGACTTGGTAGTTACCCTATTGGAGGGGAACATTCCCTTCATATGTTGGGTATGCATGGTACTGTTTATGCTAATTATGCTGTTGATAGTAGTGATTTGTTGCTTGCTTTCGGGGTTAGGTTTGATGATCGTGTAACCGGGAAGTTAGAAGCTTTTGCGAGTAGGGCTAAGATTGTTCATATAGATATTGATTCAGCTGAGATTGGGAAGAATAAGATTCCACATTTGTCGATTTGTGCTGATATGAAGGTGGCATTGGAAGGTCTTAATAGGGTTTTGGAGAGTAAAGGAGTCAAGGGTAAACTTGCTTTTGAAGCATGGAGGCAGGAGTTGAATGTTCAGAAATTGAAATTTCCTCTCGGGTTTAAGACATTTGAGAATGCGATTTCTCCGCAGTATGCTATTCAGGTGCTTGATGAGTTGACTAATGGAGATGCTATTATTAGTACTGGTGTTGGACAGCATCAAATGTGGGCTGCTCAGTTTTATGAGTATAAGAGACCTAGGCAGTGGTTAACTTCTGGTGGACTTGGTGCTATGGGTTTTGGATTACCGGCTGCGATTGGTGCTGCGGTTGCTAACCCTGATGCGATTGTCGTTGATATTGATGGGGATGGTAGCTTTATAATGAATGTTCAAGAGTTGGCTACTATAAGAGTGGAGAATCTTCCAATTAAGATATTGTTGTTGAATAACCAACATTTGGGTATGGTGGTTCAATGGGAGGATAGATTCTATAAGTCAAATAGAGGTCATACATATCTCGGTGACCCTTCTAATGAGGATGCGATTTTCCCTAACATGCTTGGATTTGCTGATGCTTGTGGAATACCGGCGGCTCGTGTGACGAAGAAGGAAGAGCTTCGAGAAGCTATTCAGAAAATGTTGGACACTCCTGGCCCTTATCTTCTTGATGTCATTACACCTCACCAAGAACATGTATTGCCAATGATTCCAAGTAATGGATCTTTCAAGGATGTGATCACGGAGGGTGATGGCAGAACGAGCTACTGATTTCTTGGTCCAAAATAAGATATGATATTCCTTCATGTTTGTTTTGTACAATAGATATAATTAATGCTATTATAGTTGCAGGATTTTCCACTTGGTAAGTTACGCATTGTATTTTGTTGTAATTTTTGGTGGTATGTGTTTTTATAGAGTGAACATTATGATAAAAGTTGATCCATGTAGCAGATTCCACTTAGTAGTGTAAGATTTGGTTGTTTCCACTTAGTAGTGTAAGATTTGGTTGTTGTTGTTAATGTGTCTTTGTAGAGCGTTATATCGTTATATCTCTTGTTGCACCGTTCTTATTTGTTGTAGTGAGATATTGAGGCTGAAGTGATTGATAGTAACAACTCTTCAACTCTTAGAATTCGAATAAAATCTGATATCATTTTGAAAGTAAGATGAAGATACTATTAGAATAGATATTGAATCTAGTTTTACTTCCCTTTTAGCATATAAGATTACCTTTTAGCCTCTAACAGTTTTTAGCATTCGCACAATTTAACTAACATAACTGGACAAACATTGTTGTCTTGGTCTGCATGTCTGAATCAATATGGCAGCACAGAATATCGCCACACCGCTTTCAGTCAACTAAGACTTGTTCGCGGTTGACAACTTGGATTTGTGTTTTTGTATCTTTTTGATAAGCCATGAATGGATGGTATATGCAAAAGGGACAACTTATAGTTTAGAGAATATAAGAGTGTGATATGATGCAATTGGGTACCTTCCAAATTGTCCTAAGATGTTTATAAGACAAAATAAAAAGTCTTGAAAACATTAATCTGATAGTAAGAAATAATGGGGTTTGGTTAAAATAGACAAACCAAAACCTCAATTAAACATAAAATTACAAACAACCCAGATGATTTAGGAATACATATGCATCCAAACCAGTAACCAATAAGTTGTATTCTATTTGTATGTACTAATTTATTCATTCGACATAGTAGGCCAGGAAAATTCACGGTTCCTTTCTGCAGTGCAAACTCCATCCAAATAACATTCATTCAACTACCTGAGACGAAGCGGCTGAGGTGTCAAAGGATTCCTTTCTGATTAAAAGACAGGTTATTCTTGAAGGATTAGAATGAGTGTTGTTGGAATGAGTGTTGTTGTCAAGACTACAGATCACAAAATCAGGGCGGTGAAGCGCGAGATGGAATCGATCCTTTCCAACTACATAGGCAGATGCATCAAGTAGCACATGCCAATGGTTCCTATGAGCCTCTGAGATCCAATGCATTGTTCCACTAGCATCTGCTGGATAAGTGAATAGCCCTTTGGGGCTGATTTTACACCTCCTCCTAAAGTTTTGGCTCAGTTGAGATCCTTTAATCCTTAAGTCCAACCAAGTCTTTGGTGCTGGGATCACCTTTGACTCTTTAAAAAAGGCAAATTCCTTTATATAATCTTCTTCTTGATCAAGAATGGTCATGTAGTAGTTTCCTTTAACAAAAGGGTAACTTTCTCCTACCAACATCATAGCATCCTTGTAGCCCGGAGTGAAGAGAACAAGATACTCATCATCTGTCAAACCATAATGTTTCAAAACCTTATTTTGAGCTTGGATTTCTGGGATCGAGATGAAGCTTCCGGGGAAAGAGGATTTCTTGTTGAGAATATCAAGTAACCTTGATGATTCCAATTGGATCTTGGCCCTATCAGATTCAGGTAAACTACTGCCAAATGAATATACAGAAGAATCTCTGGGACTAGGAGTTCCTCTTGGCGACTTTCCCTTTTCATCTAAAGGCTCCTCATTGATGATAAAGGTAGACATGTCTATCCCATTTCCATCTCCTTCAATCAACCTTGAATATTCTGGATACTTTGCTAGAACATACTGTTCAACATATTCCATTTCTTTCGGCGTGATTGGACCGGACCATCTAAGATCAATTTCGCGGATAGTTGATATTGCTTCAGCTATGATGTGAGCAGGAATCATTGCATGACCTTTCTGCTTTCATACCAACTCACCACTTTTTTAGTTTCAATTCAATGATACATAACACAATCTCTACACTACTCACAAAGTAAAAGTTGGAATTTCATATTTACCTTTATGACCATGCTGGTTGATTTGCAACTATCTACCGTAAATTTCTGGGTTGCACCTTTCCTACCGTCCCTGACTTCATTTTCTACCATCTCCTGGTATGTTACCTATAACATAGATTACCATAGATTAAAGTGTATATTCAGAATTATTAAAAGCTTTAGAGGTTACAAATTGAAATATAACTCACATATAAGGATAAACTTTACCTCAGATCCTTCTGAAATTTCCTGCTCCTGGCTATTTGTTCCCATATCAATCTATTTTATCTTCACCACTTCAAAAACAAAAAAAGATATCTACTTTTCAGTGCCTAATACCATATAAAATCTTTGGTATATGGCAGAAAGATGACCCACAAAAAAAGGTCAAAATTTTCAAAAACCCTGTTGAAATCGGAAGTGGGTTTTGGAAGATTAAAGGAATGATGTGAGGATCACAGAATTGAATCAAACAAATACATATCCGAAGCAAACATACTTCATAAACGTTTTAGTGAAGATGTGAAACAAAGAAAATAACAATGGTTTTGAATTGGTGATAATGAAATGGTGTTGTGTTTCTCTTTACTTAACCATGGTTTGCACAATATTCTCCAGATTATTCGTTTCTAGGTATTATTAATTATTGGTATTTTCAATTTCAACACTCAAAAACTACAGTTTAATTAATATTTGAAGCTATTATTCTTAATTATGTTAGGGGAAGATTATTATTGAGGTGCAGCTTTCGAGTGGCAACAGCATCACCGTATTTGTTTATTGGATATGCAACGTCCCTCTGGGAATTATATATTCTTGATGGACAATGACCATTATAGAATCTTGATGAAATGTCAACATAGCCTTGGCCTCATTTTCATAATTTATACTTAGCATACTTTCTAAGCATATTTTGGTGTGATTTTTTAATTAAAATGTAATAACTGTGAACTGATTTAGATGTAAGAGAAACAACTCTAGCAATAATAATCATCTAATAATTATGCCATATAAAGATGCCTTAAAAAGAATAGTAGATATGGACAAGGACAAGATGATCACAATAAAGTTTAGTATAATTAAACAAACATTGACATAAGGAAAGGAGTGAGTGCACAGTGGAAGGATATTTTAATGGGAATTGTTAAAGTTCCCCATTAAAAAATGACTTGCATGCTTGAATTTTTTAGAACTTAATATCTCTTCTAAAAGTAATAAAGATTTTCAGAAAATTTTCAATTTGGGGGAAGGAGCGGGGAATCAGTTTTTCAAGAAAATAACTATTTTTTGTGAAAAAGATATTTATAGTTATAACTAGTCTTTTAAATCAAAGTGGTTTTAATAAAATAAAGTATTACTCAGAAAAGGGAACATGTCTTCTTTAAGCTGAATGAAATAACAACAATTCATTAATAACATGGATTGAAGTTAGAAAATTACCTAGTAACCCCTCAATGGCCAAACAAAATGATAAATACTAAATTTTTAGAATTAGCCGATCTTCAAGATCCATGACAAAGCCAAGAGAAAGTATTATAGAAAAGGAACAACTTAAAAAAGAGATAAATGCAGTTTAATTTCTCGAGGCACTGCACACTACTATGGACACATTGTCGCATTGTCTTCCGATCAAAATCGGTTTAAAAAACTAATTAAACATTCAGTAATTACTAATTGTGCTTAATCGACTGGGTGCTATAAAGCTACCTCGGCAGTAGGGCTGGCAATGAACCAAACCAACTCGAAGATAGTTCGGGATTCGACTCGACAATTAAATCGTTGAACTAGGTTCATGAACCAAATGAGTTGAGTATGAGCGAAAAATTAAGTTCGTTAACTAAATGAGCTGAACTTGAACTATACATAGTTCGACTCGTTAGGTTCATGAGTCAACTCGATTACATATCAAAAGAATTATACTATCTTTAAGATTAGGTTTAAATATTTACTTCAAATCTTAGACAAATTTAATCTTCAATTTATTAGTTTTTGAATTAGACTCTCAAATGTATCTCTTGAAATTTGTGTAGGTTTTGAATTAGTAGATTTCGAAGATAAAGTTAAATTTCAATATGATAACTTTTATTTTATTTTAATATTTTATTTAAAAAATATATATTTATTTAAAATGTCAAATATACTAAAAAATATATATATTTAAAAAAATAGTTTTTAAGTTCGTGAACCATGTGAGCTGAACCTAATGAGATGAACCTAACGAGTCGAACCGAACTGTTCGTGAACTTATAACGAGTCGAGTTTGAGCTTTAAAAAAAGTTCGTGTCGAACTCGAACTCGAACTCGAATTCGAACAATTCTTAACGAGTCGAGCCGAGCTGAGGTGAGTTCGACTCGACTCGACTCATTTCCAGCCCTACTCGGCAGGATACTCAACCCATTGCAGGTTATTTATAAGCAAACTTTACCTCCACGACCTTCTAGACGCACTAGTTGACGGTGAATAAAAAGGGTATCACATAAAATGTACAATGGATTTCCTATGATCACAATCATTGATGTAGAGCAACATCTCTCGGTCAATGCTTAATGCATGTACATATTTTTACTGAACCATTGTTGAAGTGGTGGGTCAATCTGCACAGTGTAAGAGATGCTAAACGCATCGTGTTTCATTGTGTTAAGTCTCCAATGTAAAAGATGCTAAATGCATATGTACATTAAAGATGATTCCCCCAACATGTTTGCTAACAGAAATTTCACCCACTTGCATGATCAGTGCCACTATCCATCCGCTGCAAAATACAAACAAAAGGAACATGTTTAAACACTTATAGAGTGACGATTGAAAACAACTTTAATGCGCATTTAGAAAGAAGGGCGCAGATAATAGATTAACAATTTGGATTGGAGTTATAGCTGCAAATTCATTCTCTATTTGCAGTTTTTCTTTCAAATTTCACCCTTGACAAGGCTATAGAATATTGTGCACTGTTTCCAAGAAGCCACTCTAGAGCTAGGCAACAAAAAAAAGATTGAGTCACAAACGCTGTGTCTACCTATGGCATTTTTAAGCTGAGTTTACAAAAATGAAGAATACATAGAAATAACTAATTAAACAAATACATACTAATTAAGTTAAAATTCATCGTAAAAGAATATGTAGTTAATTGAAGCCTTAATAAGCCAGACATGCCAACTTACTAGCATGTTATTGAAAATATTAGTTGTTTCGAATAGAAAATATAGATCATTTTACTGACTCTGTAAGTTGACCTGTGGTTAGTTAGACAAAATTGTTTCAAAATAAAAGTTCCGCCGGCATACGATTAATACACATTTTAGCCATGTTGGCCAGATTAGTACGAGGGACTTGGCCCATTTTACAACTTATTTACTAAACATGCCAGCCTTGGGTTTGGCCATTTAAAGCCAGGTTGCATGATCAGCACACCATATGTAGACCAGTTTTGGCCAAAAGTTATGAAACAAGTCAGACCAATAATATTTAAAATGTAAAACGCACCATTCTTTTGCTAACATAGGGCTGTATCTTGATTGGCATCTCAGGTTGAGTTCCAACATTTAACAACTCTTGTTTCTCCTTTTCAAATTCTTTTCTTGATTCTCTTCTGCTACCAGATTGCCAAACTCTACCAAAATTAGGAAGCCAGTTGGCATCGCATTCGTTCCTCACAATCTCCCCTCTTTTTTCCATCTCCATTTCAATCTTTCTCTTTTCCGCCCAAGCAGCTCCAACGCGTTTAGGATTCAACTTTTTGTGCTTCCCTGACTTGTTTGAGTGGGAGACATCTCTTGAAACAGGCTTAGAATATATCGGAACTCCCTCATTTGTTTCAAACCAAGGTGGAGGTGCTCCAGAATGAACATTTCCATCATTATTTTCAGAAGGCACGCTAGAGATTCGGGTGAGCATCTGTATCCCTGAAAATGCAGAAAATCTTTAGTACAAAATGCATCATACACACTGGATTACCACTATACTCATTGCCCCCTCTATACTACCTATATATGCGTGACTCATAATGCCACGGAAAAACTTTTTTTCTGCATTTAATCTTCAAATATTTTGCATACAAGGAAAAATTCAGTAGTGGCATGAAATCCCCAAATCTATACAACTACAAGAACTGAGAAAAAAACAAATAGAACACCTTGCTGATTGCTGTCTCCGTTGACCACTTTACCATTATCAAGAAACTGCTACATTCATTAAAAAAAGCAATACCTTTGTCAGTGTTGAAATTATACATTAATAAGTTTCAAAACAGGAAGGGAGCAACAATCAGAATAATGTTAAGAAAAAAATTAGAGATTATAAAATGTACAGGCATCGATTGTGAGAAACAAACTACAATCCTTGATTATCATCAAGTCATGAAATTTTTAGGTAACTTAAGGCAAAACTTCAGATAAATCGATCTTGCAAACCAATGAAATCACCAGCCATAATTGCTGAAAGCCTAAAACCAAATAGTTAGATTCTCATATAGAAGAGCCAAAGCCTAAGACACCCTCCCCTCTTCCCCCCAACACAGAAACTTACCACTTTATTGCCCGTGCTTGACCATTGCCCACCACTACAAGGGAGAGAATGGCTACTCCTTTCAACTGAAACACAACATAAGAACATGAAGATAAGTCTCAACTTTAACAAATCCCACAGGTGAACGATAGTTGTAAACAATAAGAAATGACATTTCCAATAAGAAATGACATTTCCAATAGACAAGGTAAGAATACCTGCAAAATCCTGCAAAGCAAGAGGATTTGCACTAGAACACGCTTCCGAAGGTAAAGAAGAGTTATCAATATCTAATAGGCCAGTATTGCCAACTCCAGAGTGGCCTGAAGAGGATACCTGATACTTGTTTGTGTGGCAGTGTAAAGGCAAAACAACGTTTGAAGGATATGATTTCATAGAATGGGAATAAATATTTTCAAAACTATCAATATTTCCATTGTTCAATTGATTATGGATATCACTTGAAGGTCCAAAAACTGCTCCAGGACTTCCTTCACTTTGCAATGAAGCTTCTTTTTTAACGGCGGCACACCTCTTTTCCCACTGCACTAACAAGAAATGGCAAATGATGAACAAACACATTCTATATCATGAGGTTTTTTAATTCCCCTAAAAAACAAATATAAGATTTTACATGGCACCTTCGCAAAGTCATTATCAGAAACTTTAAACACATCCAGCTGATCCATGGCGCCACCATATTTCCAAAAGAAGTGCTTCAAATTACTCACATGTTCCACACTTGCTAGGTGACGAATTGCATTTTCACTGCCTCGAGAACCAAGACAACATTCATTTCAAGTTACAGTTTAATTAAAGAAAACATGGACTAATAGTTCATCAAATTGAAAACAGAAATTATATACCTAGCAAAGGAACTATCGAGCTCGTTGATATCTTGGTCACAGAAAACACACCAGAAGCAATTACTGGAAGCAAGCTGGGGACTGAGAGGGATAGGCGTTTTGAGGAAGGAGCGAACATCAGAGAGTTTGTTTTGGAAGCGAGAGAGGAAGGTGGAAAGGGATTTTTTGTGTTTAGGGAAGTACTTGTGGCGGATACCTTGGTCATAATTTATATTGCAGACCTTGCAGAACTCAAACTCAATTTTCTTCTTCTCCTTTGTGCCTGTTTGAGGCTTGGCACTCCTGTTATCAGATTGCTCCCTCATATCAATGGATTCTCTCAGTATTCCCTATGAACAAAAACACCTTAGTAAATTTAATTTTACGAGTCACTTTTTCACGTAGACAAGAATGCCATTTACTGGTGTGAATGGTAAAGCAACATATAAGAACAATTAAGTCCCAGAAGTTAGAATTTGATTTGGGCAATCCCGCCCAACTCAAACATACTGTTGAATATTAGCACAAAATCAAAACAGATTCTGTCATACAGCTCATTATGGCTGGATTCAAATTGTGATTAAATAGAAATTAATTGTATTATTATATTCTTACCTTATTTAGGATTAGCATTTATAGGGAGAATAATTACCCCTATTTCTTAGTGTAATTTATATTCTATAAATACTCATGTACTATGTTACAGAATAAACAATATAGAAAAAGCATATTTCTATATGGTATCAGTAGCAACAAGAATCCTTTAGGGTTTTTTTTTTGTTTTTGCTTCTGCTCTGTTTATCTTTTTTTACATCCCACAATGTCTGATACCGAGTCCTCACTTTCACCCAAACATTCCTCACCCGAACCTAAATTAGTCCGAACGTACCATGAAAACCACCCTGTTCAGATCACAACAATTCGGCTGAACGGTGCTAATTATCTTCGATGGTCGCAATCCGTTCGTATGTATCTCAGGGGGAGAGGAAAGATTGGCTACATTACTGGCGACAAAAAACAACCAGACAAGGCAGGTGCAGATTATGATACATGGGATGCTGAAAACTCCATGATCATGACATGGTTAGTCAACTCCATGGATGAAGAGATAGGTGCAAATTATCTCTGTTATGATACTGCAAAAGAACTTTGGGAAGGTGTCTCCCAAATGTACTCTGATTTGGAAAATCAATCCCAAATCTACGAATTAACTCTCAAATTGGGAGAAATTCGGCAAGGTGAAGATTCAGTCACCAAATACTTCAATTGTCTCAAACGTATTTGGCAAGATTTGGACCTTTTCAATGAGTATGAGTGGAAATCACCTGCCGATAGCAAACATTACAAGAAGATGGTGGATGTTAGTCGTGTTTTCAAGTTCCTTGCGGGTCTAAATGTTGATTTTGATGAGGTTCGTGGCCGAATTCTAGGCAGAAATCCTATCCCTCCAATTGGTGAAGTCTTTTCAGAAGTACGTCGCGAAGAGAGCCGTCGGCAAGTGATGCTTGGAAAAAATACAGCAGCTGTCCCTCCACCAGTTGAAGGATCTGCCTTGGCAATTCCCCATGTCAATCGTAAACCACTTCATAATCAACGAGGTGGAGACAAGACTCATTTATTTTGCGATTACTGTGGGCGCAATCGCCACACTCGGGAAACTTGCTACAAACTACATGGGCGACCAAATCATGGCAAGGCTGGTAAGTTTGGTGATCGTCCTATGCCTATGGCCAATGAGGCTGATTCGTCTCCATGTACGAAGGAGCAAATGGATAACCTTCTTAAGTTTCTAAAGTCCAATTCATCTCTTAATATCCCTACTGGAACTGTGGCACAAACAGGTAAGGATTCTTGGGCACTATCTGCTCACAACCACTCTAACCCTTGGATAATAGATTCAGGGGCATCTGAACACATGACTAATTGCTCTCATCTATTCAGTACCTATTTTCCTAGTTCAGGTTTTGAAAAAGTTAGGATAGCTGATGGTAGTTATTCAAGTATTGCAGGCAAAGGCAGCATAAAAATTTCAGAGCAAATCACTTTGCAATCTGTTTTACATGTTCCTAAATTCGCTTGTAATCTTCTATCTGTTCATAAATTGTCTAAGGACACTAATTGTTCTGTTCTTTTTCGTCCCTCTACTTGTGTTTTTCAGGACCAGAACTCGGGGAAGACGATTGGAACTGCTAGAGAGATGAATGGATTGTACTACCTTGATGGAATTCAGTTTGGCAATAAAGCGTTTTTCGGTTCAAACAGTACAAACGCATCTCCTGTTTCAGATCAAATTATGTTATGGCATAAAAGATTAGGTCACCCTAGTTTTTCATATCTTAAGCATTTGTTTCCTATTTTTTCCAAAGAAATAAATTCCTCACAATTTCATTGTGAAGCTTGTCACTTAGCTAAAAATCATCGTGTGTCTTTTAAATCAAAAGCCTATTCTGCTTCTAAACCTTTTTATTTAATTCACAGTGATGTTTGGGGTCCTTCAAAAATTAAAACTATGTCTGGAAAAAAATGGTTTGTAACATTTATTGATGATCATACACGGCTGTGTTGGGTTTATCTCATGGAGAAAAAATCAGAAGTTGAACAAAGATTTCAAGATTTTTTTAACATGATTAACAATCAATTTCAAACTAAGATTGGCATTCTAAGGTCTGACAATGGCACTGAATATTTCAACAAATATTTAAGTACATTCCTTGTAACTAAGGGGATAATTCATCAATCCACTTGTCGCGATACTCCGCAGCAAAATGGTATTGCTGAAAGAAAAAATAGACATCTCCTCGAAGTCACTAGAGCTATTATGTTTTCTATGAATGTACCTAAGTATCTTTGGGGAAATGCTTTATTAACTGCTTGTCACCTCATCAATCGAATGCCATCTCGGGTGTTACAATATGAAAGTCCTGTACAAGTGTTACAAAACAATTTTCCTACATCTCGTATTATTACGGATCTTCCCCTTAAAATTTTTGGTTGTCTTTGTTATGTTTACATCCCCAATGTTTTTCGTTCTAAGTTGGATCCTAAAGCCGAAAAATGTGTTTTTCTTGGCTATGCTTCCAATAAAAAGGGATACAAATGTTTTAACCCAGTTACAAAGAAATTTTTTGAAAGCATGGATGTTCACTTTGTTGAAAATCAACCTTTTTTTAAAAATTCTCTTCAGGGGGAGAGTCAATGTAATAATAAAGAAGATAATTTTTGGGAAACTTTGCCTGCTCTAGATGATATTGTGACTACAAATCACCCAAATGCTAAGATAATAGAATCTGAAACAGGGGGAGAAACACTGATTAAGGATGATAATCCTGAACTTAAAGTGTATGTTCGAAAAAAATTCCACAAAGGTGGTGCAAACCCTATTGTCTCTCCAGTAGAAATCCAATCTGATTTACCAAGTGAAGGTCCTACAGATAACCTGTCTTCTAGTTCTTCATCTGGTAATCCTTCTTACTCATCCAATGATTTATCTGATTTGTCTTTTCCTGATATTAATCTTCCAATTTCTGTGAGAAAAAATATTCCTGACCTCGATGTCCCAATTGCTGAGAGGAAAGGTTCTCGTATGTGCACTAAACATCCTATGTCTAATTACTTGTCATATGACAAACTATCACACACCCATAAGGCATATGTGTCTAGGATTTCTAATTTGTTTGTGCCCAGAACTATTCAGGAAGCATTAAGTGATCCGAATTGGAAATTAGCAGTGAAAGAAGAGATGGATGCTCTAAACAAAAATAACACTTGGAGTATCACTGATCTACCACAAGATAAAAAGGCAGTAGGGTGTAAGTGGGTCTTTACAGTGAAATGCAAGGCTGATGGAAGTGTGGAAAGATACAAAGCGAGATTAGTAGCAAAAGGATTTACTCAAACTCATGGTATTGATTACCAAGAGACTTTTGCCCCAGTTGCTAAGATCAATTCTATCAGAATTCTTCTTTCTCTTGCAGTAAATTTCAACTGGACACTATATCAATATGATGTTAAAAATGCCTTCTTGAATGGTGAATTACATGAAGAAGTATATATGAGTTTACCTCCTGGATTTGAAAAAAATCTTGGAAGAAACAAAGTATGCAGATTGAGAAAATCCCTATATGGATTGAAACAATCGCCAAGGGCCTGGTTTGAGAGATTTGGAAGTGTTGTTAAGAGACACGGTTTCACCCAAAGTCAAGCAGATCACACTATGTTCTTTAAACACTCATCTGAAGGTAAGATTGCTATCTTAATAGTGTATGTTGATGACATTATTATTACAGGAGATGACGTCAAAGCAATTAGTGATCTGAAGAGAAGACTTGAGGCTGAGTTCGATATCAAGGATCTTGGAAAGTTAAAATACTTTCTTGGGATGGAGTTCGCAAGATCTAAAGAAGGTATTTTTCTCAACCAGCGCAAGTACATACTCGATTTACTTGCAGAAACAGGGATGACAGGGTCTAAAGCAGTAGAAACACCAATGGATCCCAATGTGAAACTAAAGTCAGTTGCTGAAGATGAAATAGTAGATAAAGAACGTTATCAACGATTGGCTGGAAGACTAATTTATTTGTCACATACAAGGCCAGATATAGCCTTTGCAGTGAGTGTAATAAGCCAATTTATGCATGCACCAGGTGCAGCCCACTTTGAAGCTATTTTCAGAATATTAAGATATTTGAAAGGTACTCCGGGAAAGGGGCTGATATTCAGAAATAGAGGACATATACAGGTTGAAGCCTATACAGATGCTGATTGGGCAGGTAATATAAATGATAGAAGGTCTACCTCAGGATATTGTACTTTTGTAGGTGGAAATCTAGTTACATGGAGGAGCAAAAAACAAAATGTTGTAGCCAGGAGCAGTGCAGAAGCTGAATTCCGATCTGTGGCCCATGGTTTTTGTGAAGTATTATGGATCAAAAAGTTCATGGAAGAATTGAAGTTCTTTGGCCCAACTCCAATTAAAGTTTACTGCGATAATAAGGCTGCTATTTCTATTGCCCATAATCCTGTCCTACATGACAGGACGAAGCATGTTGAAGTGGACAAGCATTTCATCAAAGAAAAAATTGACAGCGGTGAGATTTGTATGTCCTACATACCTACCAAAAGTCAAGTAGCAGATGTTCTCACAAAGAGTCTTCCAAAGAGACTGTTTGATAACATGGTGTGCAAGCTTGCTATGAACGATATATTCATGCCAGCTTGAGGGGGAGTGTTGAATATTAGCACAAAATCAAAACAGATTCTGTCATACAGCTCATTATGGCTGGATTCAAATTGTGATTAAATAGAAATTAATTGTATTATTATATTC